AGTCTACAGAGACAGGCAGGTTTCCTTGAGCTGCTGTGAGCTCTACCTAGTTGGAGCTTCCCAGTGGCTTTTTTTACCTACTTAAGCCTCAGCAATGGCGGGTGCCCCTCCCCCAGCCTTGCTGCTGCCTTGCGTTTAGATCGCAGACTGCTGTGCTAGCAATGAGGGAGGCTCCGTGGGCGTGGGACCCTCCCGGCCAGGTTTGGGATATAATCTCCTGGTGTGCCCATTTGCTTAAAGCACAGTATTGGGGTGGGAGTTACCCGATTTTCCAGGTGTTGTGTGTCTCAGTTCCCTTGGCTAGGAAAAGGGATTCCCTTCCCCCTTGTGCTTCCCAGGTGAGGCGATGCCTCGCCCTGCTTCAGCTCTCGCTGGTTGGGCTGCAGCAGCTGACCAGCACCAATTGTCCGGCACTCCCCAGTGAGATGAACCCAGTACCTCAGTTGAAAATGCAGAAATCACCGGTCTTCTGTGTTGCACGCACTGGCAGTTGGAGACTGGAGCTGTTCCTATTCTGCCATCTTGCTCCGCCCTCTTCAAGCTTGTATTTTTTTTGCTTTGCATTTTATTTCCACATATATTTTAAACTCTGAAAGCCATTTCAATTATTGTTTTACATAGTCAATTTATATTTAGCCATATATTTATCCTTTCTACTCTTCTTCATTTCCTCCAGTATGTCCATGTTTTCATCTGTGATCATTTTCCTCTAAGGAAATCTCCTTAGCATTTATTTTATTTTATTTTATTTATTTTGAGACCGGGTCTCACTCTGTTACCTAGGCTGTAGTGCAATAGTGTGATCTCAGCTCACTGCAGCCTCAACTTCCCAGGGTCAAATGATCCTCCCACCTCAGCCTCCCAAGTAGCTGGGACCACTGGTGCACGTCACCACACTCACTAATTTAATTTTTTTGTAGAGACAGCGTTTCACCACATTGCCTAGGCTGGTCTTGAACTCCTAGGCTCAAGAGATCTGCCCATCTTGGCCTCCCAAAGAGCTAGGATTATAGGCATGAGCCACTAAGACTGGCCTTAGTATTTGTTTTAATTCAGGCTGATAAATTTACTAATAGTGATAAAGTTATTTAGTTATTTTCTTTCTCTATGTCTTTTTTCACTTTCATCGTGATGGATATTTTCCACTGGGCAGAAACCTAGGTTGGTAAAATTTTGAATATGATGTTCCATTGTCTTCTGTTTTCCATCATTATTGTTGAGAAGTTAGCTGTCAGTTTCGCTGTTGCTCTTTTGAAGGGAATGCATAAATGATGTGTCGAATTTTAACATTTTCAGCAGTTTTGCTACAATGTGTCCAGGTGTGGTTTTCCCTGTATTTGCCTCTGTTTGGGGTTTACCAAAATTCTAAATCTGTTGGTTGATGTCTTTTATTATTTTGAAATGGACTCTGCCATTGTCTCTTTCAAGGTTAATTTTGTCCCATTCTCTCTCTACTCTGCTTCTGGAACTTTAATTATGCATATGCTAGACCTTTTTTTCTTTTTTTTTTGGCGTATTATATTCCTTTGTGTTCTTTCCATTCTCTTATCTCTGGGCTTCAATTTGGATATTTTCTACTGATATGTCTCAAAGCCCACAAATCCTACATTTGCTTATAATGAATCTAATGTTAAACCTACCCAACTGGCTCTTCACTTCAGATACTGTATTTTCAGTTCTAGAAAGTCCATTTAAATCTCTGTATAGATTGTAATTATCTGGTAAAACTTTCCATCTTTTCATGCATTTACCTATTTTTTCTATATTTTCTTGAAAATATGAATCATAATTATTTTATACATTTTTAAAAGAGATGTGGTCTTGCTATGTGACCCAGACTGGAGTGCAGTGGTAAATTCACACGCATGATCATAGTGCACTACAGCCTCAAAGTCCTGGACTGAAGAAGTCCTTCTGCCTTAGCCTCCTGAATATCTAGGCCTACTAGTGTGTGTCACCATGTCTGGCTTGTTTCTTTACACAGTTGATTATCAGTTATATGGTCTTGTCTCTTTGCAGGCCTCATAATTTTTTTATTGTATGACAGACATTGTGTGGGTGGTTTCCAGATTATATTTCACCAGAAGAGGTTTCCCTTTTTCTCTGTCAGGCAAACATGGTGAGTGGCTGATCATGTAAACCCCTTTATAGGGCATGGTCTACCTAGCCTTTTTATAAGAATTTTAGTTTCTTTAGTCCTTATTGCTTCCACAAATCTCTGATGCCCTAAAAATTGTAATTTTATAAGGTATGAAGGTTTTCATAGTTGTAGCCGGGGAAGCACTGGCCTACCACAAAACTATAATCTACCCAGAAATGGAAGTTCTCTTGTGTTCTTCAAAAGGAAGAAGATGAATGCTCATGAGCTCACAGAATGGTTCTAAATGTGCTCTTCCTGCCACTACTCACTGCAGTTACTATTTATCATAATTGCCAATAATACTCAGAGAGCATCACTAATCACACTGCTGCTCTCAAATTCCCCAGTGTCTGTTAACTGCTCCCCTTATGGGGTCAAAAGGGTGAAAATAGGACCAACTGAATGAGAATGCACTGCAAGGCAGACTGCCTATGCTTCATGCAAGGCAGACTGCCTATGCTGCAAGTGTTTATATATTTAGTGCTTGTTTTGTAGATTTAATTACAGAGCCATGTAAATGTTTTACATTATTATAAAACAAAATTAATTTTTAAAAGCTATTCCTAAAAATATAAAATAAAATGAAACAAATGAAAGTATATGTATCCAGAGTGACGTAGCCACATACAGAGGATCTATTCCAAGTGATTTTTAAACACATAATTTTACTATTGAGATATAGTCTAAGATAGTAAGATACAGTCTAAGAACAAAAATACCTGCAAAATAATTCTCAAATTTTAATGATCATATTAAGAGTGATAGTCTGATGCTGCTATTTTCAGACTGTTTATTGTGTGTGTAATGTATATAAAGGATAGAAAATTAGTGATATTCTATTATTTTTGAGCCATTGAGAACCAAGTTTCTCAGCATGATAGAAGGTGTATATAGATAATTGAGTTTAAGGATAAATTCTGTTATCTCTGAATTTGATTTGATTAGTATGAATTCATGATGTCTTTTAAGACAAAAAATAATCACATAATACTTAACTGTATGCATGAAAAAATCTAAGATATCATGATCAGTCAAAGGCAATGAGCTCCTCTAGGACACAGACTGTGATCTCTGAAACCTACTAACATTAAAAAAAAAAGGCTTATTATGTATGGGACTGAAGCTAGATATATACAAGATGAGCCTAGAACAGCATATTACTCTGCATATCAAAACTACTGGAAACAGTCAAAAGAACTCAGGAGTTAATCTGGTATATCCAAATGGTATGAAGATGATAATATATCTACAATATTTATGAGACAATTTGAACTCTGACTTAATATTGGATGATATTAGTTTTTATGTATAAAAGTAGTGTAGTTTAAAAATATCTTTACCATTTAGATAGATATATAATGAAACATTTACAGAGGAAATAATACGATATCTAAAATTTGCTTCAAAATATGGATGGAAAAAAACTAATGAGAGGTATAGATGAAAGTAGTAGCCATGAGTTAATTACTGTTCAAAGTGGATAATGAGTAAATGAAAGTTCATCACATACTTCTATCTACTTTTGTATATGTTTGAAAAATTCCCATAATAAAAAACAATAATTCATTTTCACTCTGATTTGTCTTAACAGATCTGTTGATTCTTGTACATCACTTGCTCTCCCCTGACAATGGCTGTAACGATGGCATAAGTATGGAAAAGGAAAAACGTATACTGACATGGTTTGGCTGTGTCCTCACCAAAATCTCAACTTGAATTGTATCTCCCAGAATTCCCACATGTTGTGGAAAGGACTGAGGGGGAGGTAACTGAATCATGGAGGCCAGTTTTCCCCTTGCTATTCTGATAGTGAATAAGTCTCATGAGATCTGATGGGTTTATCAAGGGTTTCTGCTTTTGCTTCTTCCTCAGTTTTCTCTTGCTGCTGCCATGTAAGAAGTGCCTTTTAACTCCCACCATGATTCTGAGGCCTCCCCAGCCATGTGAAACTGTAAGTCCAATTAAATCTCTTTTTCTTCCCAGTCTCAAGTATGTCTTTATCAGCAGCACAAAAACGGACTAATACATATACCAAAAGATGAATCAAAAAATTTGTCCCCCAATTATCACCCCAATTTGACAAATACTAACTATAAGAATCTCTATACTATTAATGCAACAACTATGAAGTTTAAATATCTTATTCCAGAATATCCTCAATCGGAGTGTTGCAGTACTATAACACTGATGATATTCCTCTCTAGCCATACCTTTGCTTTACTATAAAATAAGAATTAATAGAGCTATTTACCTTTATTAGGTCCTGCTACTGTAGATCTATCTGAAAGTTTAGAATGGGAAATCTGTGTTTCAGATTTGCTTTGCATAGTCATTTGATTTCCAAACCTCTTGGGTTCTAAGTAAAAGACTGTAAATTTCTGCTGAACATCAAGCCCAACTGGAAAATGAAAAAAACGTATACAAATGCTTATTTAAGTCATATAAATCCACATATGAGAACACATTTCTTTTTATCTCTCTTATATTTTTATAACTTCTAGAGCTAAGAAGTCCAGAAAGTTAAAATATGTTGAAAGGTTAAAAAATATGACAACTAAAAAATTATATATTGATCATTATAAAAATAAAAATCTTCCAACAATAACTGCAATTTAACTATCTAGGAAAATAAAATATCTATAAATGAAAAGATAAACTTTTAATTATGGCATCCTGGTCCATGATATCTTTTACATACCTAAATACATGAAACTTCCTTTAAAGTTTATTCACATTATCTAAATATCTTATTTTTGCATTATACCATGTATACTGTTTTTCTGTACCAGTATAAAGGATGTAATTTTTAAATGCAATTATGTTATTTATATTCATGTCTTCATAACTTCAATTAACTTACCAAATTCAGAACTTATTAGATTTATGCTAAGATCTTCAGATTTAAGAGCTCTCTTCACAGCAATCTTTTTAGCCCAATTTCCAGCTTTTAGCAAAACAGAATCCCTAAAAAATAGTATAGTTTAAATAGTGATCCAAACACTGAATGAAATACATATTAATCATCAAGGGCTGATTGTTCTTAAGAAAGATACTCTCTAGTAGTAAACTGAAATCAATTACTGAAAACTGCTTTCCCCAACTTTTAAGGAGGGAGAATAAAGTATCAATGGAACTCGCTTGCCCATGATTTTTTTTTTTAATTAATTAATTTTCTTTTTTCTGAGATAGTCTCACTCTTGCCTGGGCTGGAGTGCAGTGGTGCAATCATACCTCACTGCAGCCACAAACTCCTAGGCTCAGGCAGTCCTCCTGCCTCGCTCTCCTGAGGAGCTGGGACCACAGGCACATTGGCACTAAGCCCAGATTATTTATTTATTTATTTTTGTAGAAATAGGGTCTCGCTTGTTGCCTAGGCTGGTCTGAAACTCTGGGCTCTAAGTGATCCTCCTGCCTCAGCCTCTCAAAATGCTGAGATTACAGGTGTGAGCCACCCCATCTGATCCCTAATTTTCTTAATTACAGCTGTTTCCAAGTTACATTTACTCATTTTAGTCCCAATAAGAATATATACTTTGTGTCAATAACACATGTGCTTGCCCCTAAATCACTACCATTTTAAACTGGCTATACGTAAGTTGCATGTATTATGAGAACAACTTCCATAGTATTTTAAAATTGGTATAAAATGGTTTGTATCTAATAATATCACAAACAATCCAGCAACCAATTTTATGACTGAACTTATTTTAGTCTCATATAGTCATAGATGTATAAGGAAAGGGCTAACATTTATGCATGTACTAAATGTTTTGCTGAAGAAGAAAAGATTTTTTGGCATTCCAACAGAATTACAAGCATCAAGGACATGGTACAATAGATAAAACTAACAATCAGGAATAGAGAAGTAGCCAGGCTCTCAATTAGGAGCCTGGTGAATATGTTCAGCCAACATGTGAATAATGGATTAGTTCATAAAAAGGAGCTTCTGAGAAGTGTGTGAGATATCAAGATTATGATCACCAAGGGAACTAGTTAACCATTGCAGTATATGTAAAGATGGTCTTCTTACCTTAGATATTTATAAAAAGTTAATATAAGGTCTCTTCCTATTAGAGAAAACGAAAGGTTTTAAGAAAACACTTAATACTTGTTGGCTTATTAGTAGACATGAAGCTTTCCTAGGTAAGACAGAAAAACAATCTAGAAAGGAAAGCGTAAGGAAAATGAAAAAGCAGAGGGAAGGAAAGGAAATTTTTAAATATTTGCAAGTAAAGCGAGGAAATAAACAACTTGTTATTAATATAGATATTGAATGATTAATATTCTTATAGGAAATTCAGGATATTTCAAAGTAAAGGTCATAAAATAGAGTGGTAGGGAGCATGGAGGCCACGAGAATGTACCCTTCAGACTTGCTACTGCAAGAAGTGTCAGTGACTGATGGCCCCAGCTTCTGAGCTCTGAATCATCATCATGTTTACACCCAGATCATACTTTCATGAGATGCCTCCAACCAATGACTGAGTACAGCAGGGATGCTAAGGTGGGATCTATGAGAGTTCCTATCAACTTTGACACATGTTCTTGGGATTGCATTGCAGGCTAAGACCCCTCTCTCCCTCCCTCTCTCCCTTTCTCCTTCCCTCCTTGCAAGCTAAGATCCTCCAGGGGCTTTCTCTCTCCCATCCTCCTTGGAGGCTAAAATCCCTCCTGCCCTCCCCTCCTCCCTCCCTTCTTGCAAGCTAAGATCCCTGCCTCCCTCCCTCCTTGCAGGCTAAAATCTATCTCTCTCTCCCTCCCTCCCTTCCTTCTCCCTTCCTTCCAGAGTTACTGGATTCAATTATAAGTTGTCTAAAAACATCCCTTCCTCCATCCCATCCTTCCTTCCTCCCATACTTTCTCCCTCTCTGCCCCACCACGTTCCCTCCCTCCCTCCCCTCACATTCCTTCCTATCCTCCTTCCCTTTCCCTCCTTATCTCCATCCCTTCCCTTCCTACTTCCCTCTATCCCTTCCTTTCTTCTTTCCCTCTATCCCTATCTGTCAAAGAGGTAAGATCTGCATCCCAGTTTAATGACTCTTGCAGACTCCTGCGGTTACCACCTATCTTCAGAAGGTTAATCTTTCTTAAATTCACAGTAGAAATGCAACAACAGAAGCCGGCAAGGTTGCAGATTAAAAGGAATGCTTCTACACTGTTGGTGGGAGTGTAAGTAAGTTCAACTACTGTGGAAGACAGTGTGGTGATTCCTATAAGACCTAGAACCAGAAATACCATCTGACCCAGCAATCCCATTACTATAAGACCCAGAACCAGAAATACCATTTGACCCAGCAATCCTGTTACTGGGTATACCTACCCAAAGGAATGTAAATCATTCTTTTGTAAAGATACATGCACACGGATGTTCACTGCAGCACTGTTCACAATATCAAAGACATGGAATCAACCTAAATCCCCACCAATGAAAGACTGTATAAAGAAAACGGGGTACATATACACCATGGGATACTACGTAGCCATGAAAAGGAATGAGATATGTCCTTTGCAGGGAAATGGATGGAGCTGGAAGCTGTTACCCTCAGCAAACCAACACAGGAACAGAAAACCAAGCACCACATGTTCTCACTTATAAATGGGAGCTGAACAATGAGAACACCTGGACACATTGTGGGGAACAACACACACTGGGGCCTGTTGGGGAGGGCGAGGGGAAGGAGAGCATCAGGAAGAATAGGTGATGGATGTTGGGTTTGATACGTAGGTGATGGTATGATCTGTGCAGCAAAACACCATGCCACATGTTTACCTGTAACAAACCTGCACATCTGCACATGTACCAGAACAGTTGAAGGGGGAAAAATTGGCCTTTTGAGCCCTTCTCTCAGTACACATTACCTGGCAAGACAGGTAAAATCCTCAATTCAAACATGCAGATGAAAATACCTAGATACTTGAGTATTATGATTACAACCTAAAAAGCAAAAACTATATGAAGCAGAATTATAGGGACATACAAACTAAAAACTGATATACAAATAATAAACTCAAAGAGACAAAATAAAGTATAAGCAATATGAAGGAATAAGAAGTCATAAAAATGTATTAATTAGAAACACTATGTAAGAAAATTAAATCTAAATTAATAACAGGCTAAGAAATTACAAATCCAGCACGGTGCAGCATCTGCCACAATTTGATGGGGAAGCTCAGAGTCCCATCTCCAGTGCTGCATCCCCTTTTTTCCAGCAGACCTCAGGTGACTTGGCCATAGCCTCTGACACCCTGTGACCTGCAGATACTGGGAGATCCATAGGGAGAACTCTGGAACACCAGAAAAGCCAAGAAATTACATGCACAAATAAGAAATCATGTGAGCACACAGCAAGAAGGTGACTGTGTGCAAAGGAAGAGAATTCTCAACAGAATCTGATCGCGTCAGCACACTTAACTCAGGCTTCCATTCTCCAGGAATTGAGAAAGGAGGAGGAGAACCAAGACAGCCAACTAGACACAGCCAGGAAGAGCATCTCCCACCAAGAGACCAGACCATCAGGAAGACCAGCACACTCGAAGCAGATCTTCAGAAGGAAGTCATTGAGGGTGGTTGGAGGGAGGACACAGACCCTGGGTAGAATCTGGGAACACTGCACTGGGCTGCCAAGTACCAGGACTCATTCCCAGCTCCTGGTGGCTCCTGGGGAAGGGTGAGTTAAACAGGTGAGGAGTGGCCCACTCTTGTCATGGACCTCTGGAATCTTAGATGCAGAAGACCTCATAACCCCCATAGACATTTAAGTTGGCAGAGAGAACTGCCTAGAGAAGTGGCAGGGACAGGACTCCACCCTGTGTGAGAGCCGAAAGGGTTTGGCGCAGGAATGGCTACAGTGGAGTACAGTCAGCAACGCCAATCCCCTAAGGCCTGCCGTGCTCCTCTAAGTGGCTTTGACCTTTGTTGACTGTTGGAGCTAGATAGAGCAGGGCAGTCTTGTCCATGTGATGGGGCCAGTCTTATCTGAGTGCCCCCGTCTGCCAGCCTCTTCTGAGGTCCCTCCATGGCCAAACTCACTTGCAGTGTGGCCTCAGATGCCCAACTGGGGCACTTCCTGGTGGCCACCACCATAGCTCCTTAGCCAGCAGATGCCACTTAAACATTAGATGGACCCTGCCGATGCACACCCACCAACAGCCTCTTCACACTGCTTTGCCAAAACACACCTGTCTGCAGCCTCCCCCAACCACTCTACTGGCATGTACTCAACCACGGCCTCCCCACATTGCTTTGCTAGCATGCACATGGTGCAAGGACCTTAGCACCAAAGCCCTACCCCCACCAGTGCACCCCTGGCACATGGGGACCCCACTATGGTGCTGTCTTGCCACTGCTGATACACTGCAAACATGGACCCTGCTGTGCCAACACTACTGGTGCACATGCCCAGACTTCACTATGCTACTACCCAGCCACTGTTGGCATTACACATGAGTGTGGACCCTTCTGCCACTGCCCCATTGAAGTGTGGTTGCCAGTGAACCAGGAACACCTCTAACCCTCCAGTGCAGCAGGTACTTAACCCTGAGGGGCCGGCAAACAAAGCCACGAGCATGAAGCCCAGGTGCACTGAGCTGAGCCCAAGCCCTCTGAAATCATCCAGAAACAAGGCCAGTCAACTAAACCCAACTTATGCCACAGTAAATCTCAATGGCATCAAGGAATATAAAAGAAAAAGCCCCATCTGAAGGACAGCAACTTCAAATATTAAAGGAACATCAGCCCAGAGAGACGAAAAACTATTAGTCTGTCTGGGCTGATGTTCTCGCACAAAGCAAGAACTCTGGCAACTCAAAATGCCAGAGTGTTTTCTTACTTCCAAACAACCACATAGCTCCCCAGCAATGGTTCTTAACCAGGCTGAAATGGCTGAAATGACAGACCAAGAATTCAGAATCTGGATGGCAATGAAGATCATCAAGATTCAGTAGAAAGTTGAAGCCCAATCCAA